AACCCACAAATGCAAAAGGTTTCTTCTTAATGTTGGACATTAAAGTGGAAAATAAGAGGCTAAAAATCATCGTAAATTATCTTAACTCGTTCTTAGAAGGAAAAGATGATCGCCTTCTGACACTTAGACGAAACTGCTCCAAGGATGTTATTGGTGGAAATCATCCACGAATTCTACTCTGATCGACTCTTCATCCATGTCTACCTGCCTTCCTACTAAATGACTGAAAATATATACTTCGCTATAACGGCTCTTTCTTCCGAGATAGGAGAGTCTAAAAAACCTACGACGACCATCCATCGACGTACTTGATTGGCTCTTCACACGTCACCAGTTAGAATGCATCGTTTCCAGTCACTGCACAACCAACATTCCTGACATGATTGGAATCCTGTGGATTTAGCTGTATTACGGATGGCTGGGAATACCGTTTAATGAAACATGCATGCATAATTAGATGTCCTTAAGTTCATCGGTTAGCCTGAATAGCATGTAGTTCTCCATACTCACTGAACCCTTTAGACGCAATTGTAATGTGCTTTCCACCTTTTAATGAATTGGGCCTTCCTCGGTACTCATGTATTTTTCCTGGATATTTCCTCTGTTTCACTAGTACTGCTCGACAATGGTAATACAGCTGGCGAAATTAGTGCTCAGTAGGAAACTTCCATTTAAATACATACGCTCTTCTTATCACAGTCGAATGCCTTGATAATCAGTGTCGGTTAAATGAACGTCGTCTTCTTACTGAATTTTTTTCCAAACAGCATAAAGCAGTATTTTTGTAGTTTCGTAAGCTAGGTGGTACTTTCGACAAGGATGTTTGTGCTTTGCTACGGTTTGAATGTGCCGACGAGAGCATGACAAACTAGCATCAATCTTCGTGTTTAGTACAGGTTTCGTTGATCGTGTTTTGATTTTTACTGCCATTATCTGTTTAGCACTAATGTCCTCGGCTGCAGTTTTAAAAATAAGATTTGTTTTTAATCGCTTTTTGCGGACTATGGAAAACTTTTTTTATCTGTTATCTGTTGTTATCAACTTCACAGTTAATGGTCGATAATTGATAACGCGGCGTTTATCATTCAAAAGTCGACTGGTCGAGCATAGCCAAGCAAGTTGGTAGGATTTTATGGTAGTCTAAATGGTAGGTAACGGATGATTGTACGACAATGTTTATACACCAACGATATTTCGTGTTGCGATCTCTACCGTGATAGTAGCAGTCTCGCTACCTAATAGGCCGTCCTTACTCTTATTATGCATTGGGCAACAACATAACACTTGATGCGGTCCCTTCTTTGTTCACCTGAAGAAGATGAAGATCGAAGCACATATTTATTCTTAACTGAGGTTCCAAGGCCGCGGGGAAGTGTTGCATAGTGGCTAGAAGTCTCCTGCAATGTATATGTAGTCACTGGTTCTATCTCGCGCTCCGGGCTCTCTAAGCGTTCCATCCATCAGTGATCCTCAGATTGCTAGGAAATTTGTCTGGAGGGATAGCGCCACTGACTTGATACATCAGTAGGTCACCGCAAGCAATTGTATAGCGCATATATGCATTCAATCATCTTCAACGATGCTTAATGAAGTCGAATGTGTTGCACATTCCTTAGGAATTGATCAACGCCGAGCGCTTTATCCTTTACTCCGTTATAATGGAACCACTTGTGCGCTTTTAGCGCGGTGATTAGGGCCATTCTGCAATACGCATGAGATCGAGCCCCCGTCCCAGGCTCACAAAGGCTTCTATCCTTTTGGAATCCGCAAATTGGTATTAGACCTGTTTAGGAGGGTGGCAGTGCTTAGTGGATACACTGGTAGGTCACCGGGTGTCATTGTGTGGGCTTGATTTGCCTTCGATCACCTCTAACAATTTTTAATGAAGTCGAATTCATGGCGCATCGCTCAGCGATCGATCAACGCCGAGAGCTTCACAATTCAACTAACTCTTTGTGCAGCCTATTTTGCTGAACATTTTCACAGATTGACAATGAAATAGTGAACCTGAATTCGTGTTTTCCTCTATACTTTATATTTTTGCAGTTGCATCTATTTAAAATATATCTCTCACACATTGCACTCTTTGCATCCAGAGGACGAATACGACCATGATTTACGTGGTACTACGACTTGGATTGGTATTACTTTGTGGTGTAGTTGATTCAATAAAAGAAGCACTTAAACGTTCGAAAATAGAAGCAACATCTTTGTTAGCGAGCATTAGCGTTGAATTATTAAAGCCCTTGTTGTCCTATTCAACAGTTCAATATATTTGTTCATCTTCCCTCCCAACGGTTTACTGCCTCATCGTGGGTAGGAGGTGTTCCTGGGTGTCGGACTGCAATGTACAGCGGGGAGATTCATCCGCCGGCAGTCTCCCAAGTTGAATGGAGTCCGGTGTTTCCATCAGGAAGCCTAGCTAAGTGCAAACCAATAACAGGATCCGCCGCCGTCCTGGTATCAAAGTCGCACGGTGGCAAATCTCCCTCTCATCGATCCACAAAGACTGCGACTGCCCGTGGTGGTGACGACCTGGAGCAGACTTTGGCCAGGCAGTCCTCGGGATTCCAGGAAACCACAATGGCTTAATTTGCAAATCTCCGAAAAGTGGTGGTTGTGCTGGGGCCCACACCAGTGAGGATGGGTCATTCAAGTATCAAGTTCATCTTCACTGATGTGATACAAATTGCAGAATAGTCATCAATATATCTGGTGTAGCAATTTTTTCAAGCAATTTTTCGTAGACTGAGAATTCAAATGTTTGTAATTTAGCTTCGGTATACGAAATCATCACCAGTTTTCTTTTGGGAAGCGAACCGGATGCGATCAATTGTTTATATTGTTGGCCTAAAATGGATGAGTATTTTGACAATTACGTTCAGATTATGAATAAACTGAAGTCGCTATATGTACGTATATACTTCTGTATAGGCAAGCTATTTAGCACATTCGACATTCATGCTATCTTTTGGATAATTAAGTACTTCCGTACCTGAGAACTTGGCAATCTTATAAAAGAAACTGACTTTCCGCTTTTAGGTATTTTTTGTAATAGTTATCACTTCAAATGTTCCTGGAGGTTGAGTTTTCGAAAAATCCAGAGGAAATGAGTTTTTCACAAAGTTTCTAGAACAACTGTAACGGCTACAGATATTGGCGAAGTATTCACGAATACCATCGCGTACCCCGTAATGAAGTTCCCTTTGTACACTCGTTTCCCATGTGGTCCTGGACGAAAGAAAATTTATGAAGAAAAAGATTTATGAGCTTTAGAAATCACAATATAATGCCTGCGAAGAAGATAGCTTTTGCACTCTGTGCAAAGATTTTTCAAATTTAGTCTTCTTCTATTAATAAATCCCCACAAGGTGAGATATGTTCGTTTAACGGTGAGAAGCATATAAGTTATATGTGACTCATCCAGTTACAGATGTGTTCATAATTTCGACTGCTACAAGACAAACTTTCACAGCTATAACAGATGATATTGAGTACACAAATGGTCTACAAACATGCTATGTATAAGTGCTTCGCCGGGTGGTTCATTCATTCCGAGTTCCACCTCACTCGGTAAATGTGAATGTCACGACTTCTGCGGAAACGAGCCATACAACGGTGAGGTAGGTCCTCTACTCAAACGAATTTGGCTGTGATGCAGCAATACTGCTAAAAAATACGCGCAATAAACAAACTCGATCTCAAGCTTTGTTACAAAGCATTGATTTGAACTGGACGTGTATTTGAATAGGAAGGGTTCGTCATTTATGAAGAATGCTGTCCTTGGGAAGAATTTGAAATTAGGCTTACGAATTCGATTTCTGTCACGTTTAGCAGGATTTCATAACTCTAAGATCGTGCAATTATTTCCACATTCTTTTTTTTGAAATGATGAAAATGAAAAATGAAAAGTGAAAAAAATGAAACTTCTATCGTCTCGTCATTTGTCTACAAATTATTTACAGAAGTTCGAATTGCTATTCGAAATGTGCAAAACAATTTGAACATTTTCCTTGGTTGTGGAACGGAGAATTTTCTTTTTCAGTTCGGTCTAGTTTTAGTTGCCGCCCGAACTCCTGCACCTTTCTCGACATTTCCTGACATTTTCGCCTGACCTGATTTCGCTTTCTATTCGTCATCTCTCTCTCTCTCTCTCTCTTTCATATCTGTTTTCCGGTTCGACTTTCTGCGCTACCATCATCGTCATCATCATCATCATTACTATCATCACTTTGTCGTCTATCCAATATAGCCTCTTTAAGATTATTCACACACATCGATCATCCAATAGTAGCTCATCACTGCTACAGCTATTTTTCCTCAGTCGAACGCCTATGCATTTCCAGTTAGTTTAATCCTTTATTAAATAGTAATGAATTTAGTGTGATAATTTTGCGTTATGGCTTTATTTGGTATCAAAACAGGTAGTTATGAAGGTATCGATGTGTTTTAAAATATTGAGCGCACCCACAACGAGCGACAGTATGATGGATGTTCATACATGTATGAAATTGATCGATATAACAAAACTGTTACTTTATTTTCTATGTTTCGTTTATTTTCGCAAATCTGGAATGAGTAGTGAGTTTTGAGGAACATGCCGCTCACTTTTGAAAAGATCTGCAAACCAGTTTCTTATTTTCGCTATAAACGATTATTAAGTCTTTACATCCAGATTCAATTAGCTAGTTAAATAATTAAAAGAGAAGGCCTAAAGTTGTGTAGAACATTGAGCTGTGCAGGAAATCATTGTGTATTCCTCTCTGCTTTTATTCAAAAGTCCATTTCAGGAATATACGGAAATTATTATTCATTGCACTTTCTTCCTATGCAGTTGCTTACATCTTTTATTTTATCTACACTGTTACACGTGTGACGTATACTCGAAGAGAATTTTCTAAACGGGTACGTCGAATATGATTCGAGTAGGTGAATGGGTTTCTATCATATTTTTCGTGACAACGACTCAAGATTAAATCTGTGGACTTTCCTACTCGATATCATCGATCTCACACACCCTAAATCACGTAGTAAATCACTCTACAGCTTACAGCCCATATATTCAGACTTGCCAAGGGTATCCAAATTTTTGTTCACAGTCTTCGTAAAGCACTCTTTGCATCGCTTCGTTGCTCTTCCTGGTGTTTTGTTAACATGCCGTGGAGAGTACAACTGGTTCCGGTAGTTGTTCTTTGATTGCTGTTATGACGCATAACGAATGCCATGCAACTGATTTTTCACAGTACCGCAGGTTTCAGGTGGCAGACATTCTTCGATCATCGACGAAAGTCAGGATTCTTGATTCGTTGTCTCATTTTGGTAAAACAGTAACATAGTCCTGTCGGTAGCGATTTTAATAACTATTGTTGTTGTTTACTATTGTCTATCAGCCACTGTTGTTTACTCTTCTTACTGAAGCGACTCGTCTTCACGTATACTGTAGGATTCCCAGCATTTTTTCATTCGTTGTCGTCTTGCATTCGCCATCCACGAAGGACTTTGCGTTTACGTATGCGTTCATCTACCTATGGATTTCTCAATTTTCATGACTATCACTAAGTGTTGGCCACATTGATTGAATGGAATGGAATATCTTGCGACAGCTTTGCTAGGACGTTACTAGGTATCAGCTACAAGTAGTCGACAAACTTTTAGGTTGGAGGAAACTTTTCGCAGATATATTAGGTACAGATTTGGCAAACACTGAGGAATAGATTGAGATTTATTGGAGAAGGATGAGATAGAACCAGCGACCATGTGTGTGTACCACGGGTCCTGTAACTTCTGCGCTTGACGTAGTCTAATTTAAGTTTAATTGTTGGAAGCAACTCTGAATCCTCTCTTGTTTTTCCCATGCACTTAAATGAAAGCCTTATGCCGAATCGATGTGAAGGTTACAGTCTACATACATGCTATTGCAATTCGGTACAGGAGAGACCTTAAATCACAGTCAATAGGCTTTAAGAAAAGTACAGGGCCGATCTACGTCTCGTCTAACGCCCTAATCATCCAGTTGGAATGCATCACTCACATCGCCACTTGCGGGTTTGGACGCGAGCGATCCCAAATTCCTCATATGGGGAGACCTGAAGCGCTATTATTGCCCACATTATTGCAAGAACAGTAGAAAATGGTCAAATGTTCAAGATATCTTATTTTTAATATCTACAGGACTTATCAGATGGTCCACTGGTACTGAAAGAAGGTGTAGCCGTTGGGAAGAGCATAGCAATTGGAAAAAAGTTTGCAATGTCGAAAAAAGCAAAAGTATCAGAGAAGAAACAAAGTAAACTGAAGAAGCGTGAGTATTTGGAGTTGTTCATCGAAAAAATATTCCGTTCTAACAATCAATCCAATATATCCTTGATTTAGGTAAATGGAAAATTTCAACTAAACACAATGAACCGCTTCCAAAATTGGATGAAGACTTCATCAAAGTAAGTGCACTCTAATTGCGATCTGGGACAATCCATATCACACTGTTATTACCGTTGTAGTCAATCCGGTCACTAAACGTATAAATCGGCAACTATTGTCCTTGTTTCTTAAGATCGGAAGCTTTGAATTATTTGAGGATTTTGTTTCATTCTTCCTAATAAATTGTATTAGCCCACATAGATTTATTAAAATACAATTTTGAATAATTATCAATCGCTTTTTAATGTGTAATAATATAGTTTGCGGCAACTCGGTTGAAGAAATAGGGCGGGTGAACCTTGCGACATACTGTCCTACTTTACCACATAACGGACGACATGGGCGCAATGGTGCCGTTTTCAATTCTTGAACCTTTCACCATACTGTGTATATTTATTCGATAGTTAATCGAAAGCAGAAAGTAAATGAGGTCAGACCAGAAAAGACATTTTCTGCATTTAATAATTTACAAGAAATCCATGCTCGAACAAGTTCATTTCTCAGCGACTGGCCCCGAATTATGATATCTGGACAAATTGCCTGTATAGAATTAAGCAGACGAGAAGAATTTTTTTGCATGTTATTCAACTAGAGCTATATATAGTCATATAGTTGACGTCGGTAGAAATTTTGTCTAGAAAGCGCAGAACATCAACAAACTGCTCGTTCGTCCATGTGATTTATTTCACTGTATATTTGAAAAGAGCCATCGGTTTTTACTCTCATAATGTTTCGCTCATATTTTGAAAATATCTGAATACTTGGATGGCCCATCCTCACTGATTGGGCGAGCCCCTGCATAATCTCTATTTTTTGGAGTTTTGCTGGTTAAGCCGCTGCAGAATGACAGGAGTTTGTTCTACAGCCTTTCCTTTCAATTTGATACTTGATACTTGAACAGCCCCTCATCATTAGTTATGCGAGCCCCAGCATAATCACCATTTTTCGGAGATTTGCTGGTTAAGCCATTGGTAATCCCTGGAGTCCCGAGGTCAGCCTAGCCAAAGTCTCCACCAGGTCGTCACCACCACAGGCAGTCGCAGCCCACGTGGATCAAAGGGAGATTTACCATCATGCAACTTTGATACCAAGACGGTGGTGGATCCTGGTATTGGTTTACTCTTAGTTAGGCTTCCTGATGAAACGCCGGACTCCTTCTCAGCTTGGGAGACCCTGTCCGAGGGATGAATCCCCCGCTGTACATCGCAGTCCGACACCCAGGAACACCTCCCAGCCACGATGAGGCGGTAAACCATTGGGACGCATTATGAAAATAGTGCTCAAAAGCATTTGTTGTATAGCTTTCACTTTACAAAACTTTTACAGTACGTAGTGTATAGTGTAAACACGCAAGCAATAGAACACGTTCCCTATATTGAATTAAATTGTTAATGTGTCGTTTTCTTGTTCAGCAATCGCGAGGTTTTTAAACAGCATACATTTACTTCCATAAAAACACAATACAA